AATGAGTGACAAGGGAATAGGATTTTTTTCCTTTTGTTCCTCTTTAAACAATTACAGATGCCAGCAGCAGCAAGGATTTAGAAGGTTCTGTTCATGACATACAGTTTTGAAATCAAGTCTCTTCTTTTTCTTGGATTCACTAGCTTTCTGTTTCAAAAACTGTGTGTTGGGAAGCAAAAGAGCATGAAGAAGTCTGTGGTAATACTATTAACTGGCATGGAAGGGGTAGGGCAAGGCAGGCAAGGGCAGGCTGGAGAAGATAGTGAGAACCATGAGGATTTTAATTTTCACGTTCTTCCTCTCACTTTGTTTACTCAACACCTGCAGAAAGGCTGTAATGCCAAGCACCAAGATTTTTCTCTTTCACCTATAGAAAAAATATTGTAAAAATCTATGTTTGCTTTCTACCAGTTAGAAAAATGGAAACACTTCCAAAGTGGAGAACAGAACAGTTTTCTCTAACACAAGTTCACATGCTAGGAATTGAAATATGGAGTTTTTTCCTTCTTACTAGCTACAACCTCACAACTCACAACTAGTGTGCCTACTACCAGCTATTAGTGGCAGTGAGTGGATATTCACGTATCAAGGTATTTCTTTGCCCAGAGCGAAGTCACAGCTGACTGACAGAAAACTACCATAGGCTCATACTCTCTCCAATGGTGCAGGCAGCAGCTTTGCCCACTGTTTTGTTCTGACCTTCTGTAGGCTTGGAGCTGTGGTGCCCTCAAGTCGTACCCAGCTGTGGGTGGTCAGAGGTCCCAGAGTGATCCCTCAGCCTACCGCTGTCAGTGGAGGGTTCAGGAGAGGAACTGACAGCTTGAAGCCCCTGCTCCTGAGGTACAAAAGACCTGACTTCTCGTACAAGAGGGAATCTGCAACACCTCAGCTGAATGTTTTATAAGCAATTTTTGCGCACCCCAGCCTGGCCCCAGCCAGCCCCAGCCTGGCCCCATGATGAAAGCATTGAATTAAGTTTCATACTCTTAATAAATTAATCCCCTTCAGGGAAAAAAATTAATGCTGTGTATAGCAGAGATTTTTCTGTGCCTTTTGATGTGATCCTACTTGGATTGCAAAGTCTTGCCTGATGCAGGCTAAGGTGTGTATGCTTTGGCTCTGTCTGGTATTGGAGGTCATAAAATATTGGAAAGTCTTTGCCAGCAAGCTCTTTTGCGAACTTGAATTGCCTGTGTGCATCTTGCAAGTACTGTTTTCACTTGGGGATCTGCAGATGGCAGGGCCACTTTGCCCAGGCCAGCGCTCCCCTTGAACTTCTCATGAGCCCTGGTCTTCTCCAGGCCACGTAAGATTTCGCATGTGGGTTTTGTTTTTTCCCTGTGGTTTTTCTTTTCAAAGCAGAGCAGATGAGACCCATCAGGGGAACAGCAGAGTAGGGCATATATCACAGCTCAGCCCTTAGGGGCAGCAACACCATGGTATCTGCTCCAGAACAGGAATATGGTGCTGGTGACTTTATAGTCCCGCTCTCTTCCTCTTTATGGCAGGCAGCCATATAAGCAGAGCAATTCCCAGGGCAAGTCATCCACCGTTTGCATGGAGGAACTTAATTCTTTCCCAGCCTGTATAGCCTCATGCTATATATGCCTATGCTTGCATCTGCCCTCCTGGCTTTTGTCACTGACCGCAGAGTGAGGACATCATGATGGGACATGAGAGAAAAGGTCTCACCATAGTGGCAAGGTATGTATATAATATCAGAGAGTACATTTAGCCACATTCATCAGATTGCAGTACCTTTGCTGTGTTGGCTAATGCACACACCATGAGTTCTCTGATAAATCTCATTTCCTCAGTGCAGAGATAATTTACCTCTATTTTGTTGCTCGATGCACCTAAGTATAGCATTGCACATCTATCACACACTACCTCTCTTGTAAAGAAAAGATTGAGTGTCTCAGAAGTGCATTTTCTCTTGTAATTTACACACAGGTGGTCACTTTTTGATGTTTCGTGCCTACTTGTAATCTTGACATGCAGTCAGTGAAAGACCACCAAAGAAAGCAAATGCTGCAGGAGCACATGCCCTGGTTTCCAGATGTCACATACAGCCAATGTAGGGTGCACAGCACTCAGAGTTACTGTGCTGCTGTTTTGGGTGGCCAAATGGCTGTGTGTTTTGTTGGTTTTTTTAATTTCATCTTTGTTTTGCAGAGATTCATTTGAATGCTGACAAAAGTGCCTGGAGACATGGGAATGTGCTTTAGACAAATGCTGTAAGAAGTGTAGTGTTCAAGTAAGCTGTAGCACGCAGACTTGCAAATGCTTTTGCTGGCTCTCTTCCAGAAGGATACAGCAGTTATCATATTCCTGGGAACTATACCCTCTTTGTTTTCCTATGTTGCTGGTGGAAGGGGTAATTTTTACTACAATTGCAGTGTGTTTTAATAATGACATCTGTATGCTGAAACTGCTTTTTGCCCTGCTTCTGTTTGAAACTCTTAAGGTTTGATTACAGAAGAAAGCTGCTATAATGGAAGAAATAAAAAATTCAGCACTTTATGGTGACTCTCAAACACCATGATAATAATCCAAAAGAAGCTCACCAAAGGTAATTTTCTTAGGCTGGAGAAAACAAGTTAAAACAGGGGATGTAAAGAACTGGGATTGTACAGGTGACCCAAAAGAAACTTGAGAAGTGATCTTAATTCTTCTTAATTAAGAAGAATTCTTAATTCTTCTTAATTAAGAAGAATTAATCAATAATTAATTAATTAATTGGGGGGCAGAAATTCTTGTTATTGGAGGGCTTTTTAATCTAGTGAGCAAGGCTCAGAATAGCCATGGTTGAAGATTAACAAAGGTCAAAAATAAAATTAGAGACCAGGCATACTTTTTGAACAGCATTTGCTGATGATACACATTGGGATGTGCAACTCAAGGAGGAGATTGATTAGTTGATTATTGATGATTATTGACCAAAGAGTTCTGGGGTCTTTCTGGGACACAGGCCTCAGGTAAGCAGATGTGAATGGCATTAAATGGTCACCTCCTTTGATCTGTCTGCTCATCTGATTTTCTTTTCTGGCCCTGTGAACCAGGGATATCTGCAATGAAAATTGATGCCTTATAGTCTTCTATACCTCTTTTTCAATATTAAAAAGAAAGACTTGTAGTCCATAGAAAGTCGAAGTCATCTAATGTGGAGATCAGAACACTGTCCTCTGTATTACTGCAAACCGTTAATTAAACTTTCCAACAATACTACAAAGACCAATCTCCAATTTCTTCCTTAAAGACAGGGGACAAAGAGATAGGAGACCTTCAGTCCTACAGGATCACTAGCAGCTGGAGCTCGTTGATTCTATATGAAGACTACATTGTAATCATATAGATACCTATCTGTAGGTCTCATACAGATACAGCTTCAGTACTGAAATACAAGTTTCCCAGGCTGGCACAAGTTGCCTGCCTGCAATTTATTAGGTTGATAGATGCTTAGGAATACATCAACTTTAAGAAGCTGAGGTTGCCCTCTAAGTTTAAGGCTGCATTTTTGATGCACTATAGAGACTTCCCTCCATCTCTTTTGAGACAGCAAGGAGAGCACTTGGCAGCCTGAAGAGGACAGATTACTGCCCATCCAATCCACCAGTTCTCCTGTATTAAACCTGTTTGGTTTAATATCATAAATAGTGACTGCCACAAACTGGGACTGCTTTTCTGCTCTGGGAACGAGGAAATGTTTTGCATAATTGAAATACTTTGTAGTAGAGAAGGAGAGTTCAAAATTCATTTCAAGGTCACATGTACCCAAAGTATACAGAGTCTTCTGCTTGAAATGACACCTTTTCAAAACAAGCATACCAAGGTTATTCCAGTTCTGATCACCATGCTCAGGCTCACAATAATCAAAGCCTGTTATCTGGATCCCTGCAATAACATGATTCACCAGCTAATGATGACAGTGTCTAACACATGCTTCAGTTGTTGCTTTTTAAGATATGGAAATCAGGAACTTCCAGTACAACTTAGTCTTCAGCATTTCTTTTCCCATTTCTGTTAATTCATCTGCAGAATAATTCTTAAAATATAGTCTCTTCTGACAATGACAGGAAGTAGGAGGCATCTCTCAGTTATTATATACTAGTTTCTTGTAATCCAAAGTTGCCCAAGGGCCCCTAAGATACAGTAAGAGGGCTGAACATGCCTGATGAAATGATTGCTGTGCCCACAACCAAGAACAAAGCATGATCATTAAAAAAAAAATATAATGATAATCGAAAAATAAATGTAACCTAAAAAAGTTTTTGCCTAGTTTTTGCTTGTTTGCAGAAAAACAATGTGCCCTATGGAAAAAGGAAGGAGAAATGCGAGTTTCCCGAACTTCATTCAATGTTTTTAGATTCTTATCCTGTCCTGGTCATAGCCTGCTTCCCGCAGCCCTCTGATTCTGAGTGCTGGTGGGTACCTTAAAATGGCCTCAGACTTGGTAGGTGCTGCATGTATCAGAGGAGCCAGGTGGCCCCCGCGTGTGTTGCTGCTGACATGGTTTGTGTGTTTGGGCTGGGTGCAGGATGGTGAGCAGGCCATGGGTGCGGGGTTTGTTTCTTCTGGCCTCAGCTGTCTAAAATTTGGCTGCCTGAAACTAAGAAAATGCTGTAATCTTTCACTACCGTTAACAGAGAGCAATATGCACCTCCAGATATCCGAGATGCCTGTCTTGGGGTGGCATGATTTGCTTTCTAGACATGCCTCTTCTTATCCACTGATAGGCAACACGGGGCTGACAAGTTTCAGCAACTAATTTTTAGGTGGCTGAACTGTAGGATATAGCAAGCTAACTAGAGCACCTCAATAAAAGGTAGCAGTCAAGGAGATTTTATGAGCAGTTGCAAGGTAAGAGATCCCTGAGTTCAAGTCAGATCTTTTCAGCTGATTTGCTGGATGATCCAGTAGTAGCAGCGGTGGTGCTGGTGGCATCCTTCTGCTGGAGAACACCAATCTGATTGTGCTGGTTTTTTTGTCCACCCCAAAAGGTCGCCACTGTGAGATCCATCAGATGACTGGAAACTACATGTGGGACCAGAAGGCAAATGTATCTTTTGATATTGGTGTGAATAAAGAAAGCCTGATGCCTCTCTGGTGGAATGGATCTGAGCCTTTGTGGGTCACAATGACGAAAGCTAAAAAGAACGTTTCCATGTACTATTGGCCAGGTAAGTTTATGAAAAATTGCTGCCATCTTAACAGTGCATCTTTACATCTGAGCACTCCATATTCTGTAGGAATGGCTCTCTAACACAGTCCTGGAATACAGACAAGAATGTTGAGTGCTCTGCTAACCACTCATATAAATGAATTATCTTTTCTTGGGTCATGATAATTTGTATATGCTTACAAAGGAAAAGACTGAAGTGTCACTGGAGGCAGCTTTCCACCAAATGTTACCTTCAGGAGGGCACTGGCTTGCAGAGCATCCCCTCCTCCACCGACTGCTCATTCCTCTTGCCTACCTGTAGCTTCTGCTGTGCTGAATGGTTGCTCCATGAATGGTTCATGGTCCAATTAAAGTTAAACGGTAACCAGTCTCCCACAATGCTTGTTTGGTTTTAATCTGGAAATTAGTATCTGAGAGCTGAAGATGATCTGCTCTGTGGGGACAACAAAATCCAGCTGAAAGCAAAGCATCCTTGTCCTCTTGTCCTCCTTCATTGTTGATTGAGTCGAGGTCCCAGTTGCTCTGAGTCTGAGCCATTCTTTTGGACGGACTTGGCCTTCCTGTTCCTCATTTGTTAGATACTGGGCAATTGAAATGACTAGAGATGTATAAAAATTAGTCCTTTTTAACAAAAAGAGATATCTCCTTAGACTATCCATTTAGGGACTCACATGGAAATAAATGTTCCAGCTCTGCAACCAGACCAAATGCCTTGCAAAGTACTGAGATTCTCAACTTTTTTACCTTTTAACTCTGCTACTTATACTAATCAGTACGCAGATATCCTCATATGTGCAAGTGCAGGCTAAAGGACCACAGAGCTATTAGAAGAGCTGTCCTGGATACAGCCAGTGCCAGTAGGGCAGCGGCAGCTGACCCACACCGTGGGCTCCTGGACTGCTCATCTCTGCATCCCGGTGCACATGTGCCTGGCCACAGTCTGTCCATGCAATGTGGCTAATGGTGTCCCAGATAAAAAAGTCCACAGTTCTGAGGAATGGGAAGAAAGATCAAACCAAGATGGAAAACACTGAAAAGCCATCTAGAGTGTTTCTATAGTAGTGAAGAGCAAAAAGACCTGAGGGTGACAATATTGCCTTATGGACTCGGAGGCAGTCAGGGTGACTGACATATGATGGTTTGGATCAGCCCTGAAAAAAATGCTGCTTCTTACTGAAGATCACCCAAGTGACCTAACAGCAATGCAAATAGTAGTTATACAAGAATGCAGAAATTCTTCTAAAAATTTACAAAAGACCTCTTTCTATAGACTATTCATTTTTACCCACTAATATAATTGCTCTCAATAGGTATAATTATGTAATGAATAGATGTAACAGCCTACAGAGAGATGCTGAAATAAAAAACCCAACAGTATCACTTTCCATTAAATGCCTTTGGACTTTACCTAGCTCCTACATGTTGCCCTTTGAGCAGTGTTTCCCAGGGAGAAGACATATGAGGTGTATATGTATGTATCCTTGCATACATATGTATACCCTTCACTCTTCTCTGCCTGCTATTTCCAGTTGAAAATTGCAACAATAGAGCCTCCCTTTTCCCAGTGCTTATGCTGCCAAGTGTATGCATTGACTCTTATGACACTGAGGGGGAATTTTTTGTGGATCTAGTATTTTAGCTGTGGACTGTGACATGTACATCTGTCTCTCCTTAATTATTTATCTGTGATGAGTGACCTTTGGCAAAGCCATCAGTGCCTCAGTTCAGCAAACGCTTAAGCACATGCTTATTTTAAGGATATTCATGGTCTCAAAGGACACATATGCCATACAAGGTCAGGCACAGGGCAGGAAGTGGGGTGAAATGTAGAACTATTGAACTAAAACACAGGGTTGTTGGGCTGCAGTAGGACTCCAGGTGTATCTGGGGTAAACAGAAGTCACTCCAAATGCAGTAATATTTATTACATTTTCCCTATACAACTTTTTAAACTGTTTTCTAGTTCCATAGTAAGGACGAAATCCTTTATAAAAATTCTAGATCTATCATTTTAAAACTTTAATTCTTAACAAGACATTTGACTTGGAAGCAATACTAAACAAAATGAAAATAATAAAAAAAAAGATTTCATAACCAAGGCGAGTAGAGGTCCCACAGACATTTGCACTACATATAATCTGCTGTTAGTGATTAGCTTTCCAGCCTGAGGATATACTTCTGCTTAGTAGTGAATCTTACAAATATGATAAAGAACCAAACAGGAAAAGTTTCAGAAACTCTTCATAAGAACAGCAGTATAGAGCCAAATTCAACACACTTTGTTCTGGAAGATGCTATTTTCTCTTTAGCCAGCATTGAAGACAAATGAAATCAATCAACCATAGCAGAAATGCCAGAGAGCTGATTCCCAGGATTAACTTACGCCACTGCCATTTCCTCCTCAGGGCCAGTTCCAAGCTTTGCAAAGTCTGAATGCAAAATCTGCTGCTTCATATTCTTCCCTACATTCCTCTCTCATGTGTAGTCAGTGCTTAAAGAAGTAAAATCCAGACCCCAGCAAACAGGAACACAGAGCAGGAGGGTTGTCGGGTGCAAATGACCATCCATGACAACTTTATCTGTGAGCCCAATGTAAACCCAGCAAAGACAACTCATGGGCAGAACTCATCTGGGATCTCCTGATGCTGGAAGCAGAGGAGCCAAAATATCACCATGCCAGGGGTCCCAACCACCAATTCTGACAAAATGTAAGACCTGGGCTTGTAAGGACATTTTTCTCCTCTCTTCACAATCTACATGAGGTGAAATTCTCAGGCTCATGCCCAGGTTGCCTGTCTGAAGCACTGCTGCTCCAGTGGATGGAGAATGCCCAGAGGAGTGCAAGAGCATTCCAGCAGTCTTGGCAAAGTCAAAGCTTTGGAGTGATCCTCAGCCCACTGGATTGTGTCACCATAGGTGCTCAAACTCCTTTATTTTCCAGCAGCCTGTGCTAACTGCGTACGCAGCTGCTTCAGCTGAAGTGCAGTGATATCTTCTCTAAACACTGAAATGAAAGAGGGAAAAAAAGGCTCTGAACTCAACTTTTGCCATTTAAACACAACATTTACCAGATCATACAGCTCATCTGGAAAGTTTTCAAAACTTGTTATGACATGAAGTGTCCAACTCTTAAATAAATGTTTAGAAATGCAATTTAAAGCTGGCAGAGGTTCAGGTCTCCATGTCAGATAGATAAAGAGGAGCCCATATATCACTCTGAAAGAAGTCCTTATTCCTGCTCCAGTAGTTCAGGTTTTTAAATAAAGGTTTAGTGTCACACAAAACTGTGAAAAAAGGTATCTAACATCTTCATAAATATAGCTTAACTATTTGTAGTTTAAACAAGAAAAAACATTCCCTTTGTCTGTCTCCAAATCTGTTTAAATTTCCTTTCCCATAATATTTAAATGAGAAAATTTACCATCTATCCTGGTCTCTACCAAAATGAAATCTAAATATTAAAAGTTCTTCGTGGCCAGTATTTTGGAATTGTAACAAACCTTAACATCAAAAATCCAAATTTAAGTTCTGTTTATCATAGAGGCTAAAAAGAAAAAGGAAGCTCTTGATATCTAAGCAGCCTGAATTTTCAGTGGTACTGCCAATGAACTGCATACTTGAAGACCAATATTTAGTGGCCAAAATGATTTCTAATTGTTGCTACGTCTATAGTCTTTTCTGTCATGCTCATCACCTGACAATCTAGAAATAGCAAAGATATCTCAACAGCTAAAATATCCCAGATCCCCAAGAGGTTAATGCTTCCAGTTATCCTGTGAGTAGTTCTGAGGGATGTTATGTGAGAAAATTACAATCTGATGTCAGTATCTGAAGAAGAAAAAAGAGGCAAAGTGGTAGTATTAGTCACTGACTATGAGCCATCCTACACCTGAACAAAAATACTAAGTGTTCCCAACATCTTTCCAAGTGCATCCTTAACTTCTTGCCTGGCTTTAGAGCCAATCTTTTCCCAGACTCAAGTGTCAGACAAGAAATTGGCTCCAAAGTTCTAGTTCAGTCCTGAAATACTAGTAAAACCCACAGAAGACTACTGCATCACTTTTAGCATCTGAGTTAGCTGTAAGCCCATCTTTTGCTGCTGGTAGCACCCAAGACATCCTGCAAAAGACTGAAGCTGCATGCCCTCAGGGCAGGGGGCTCCCTGGATATGACTTCAGGAAATTTATGGAATACATTTTTTTATGATTTAGTTAGGTAGCAGCTGGGACCTGTCTCTGTTGCACAACATAATTTCTTGAGGGTGATGTGTGCAGATGTATAGAAGTTTTACTGCGGGATGGTCTAGAGAGTCAGTTCTTGTCAAGTGATCTGCAGGCTCTTCAACCAGGTTGCAGATTACTTTCATGGTGGATTGTGGTGGAGAGATAAACAGTAAAGAATCTTCATGCAGAAAGGGGAAGATTAAATCACATATGTTTGGGGCAACAGGGGAAGAATTAAAAGCGAGCATCATCACACAGACCCACAGTTTTAATAGAAATAAAATTTAGATAGAGGTTTAAGATTATGCAGATGTGTTTTAACAGGAAAATAAATTATTTTACTACATTTTATGTTTATTATTGCAAATAATTAATCATAATAGATGGAGTCCCTTAAAACACGCAAACTATGTGGAGACATAGGAGTTGTTGCCACAGGTGAAGAGACTAAATCTCCCATGTGTGCTAGGGCTCTAACTTTTGGAAAGGATAATTTCCATCTAATTTGTCTGGCTTTCTGCAAATCAGTGAAGATTTTTAAAAAAACTTCGTAAGCTTAAATATTTAAGTTTTTCTAATGTTTCATGGTACTCCTAAATAGTCACAATCAGAAGTCTCTTAGCCAGCTTAGCCTGCAAGTGGTGTGCCTTTTCCCTGTGTCCCAGCACTGGATCTCGGCAATGTAAACTCATGTGGGCTGAGATGCAAGACACTGAAAAATTCTTTTTATTGAGTATCCCAGTAAGCAAACCACTGTAAATCATCTCTTATAGTAGTTCTGCTTAGTCTAGTGCCCTTTCTGTACTTAAACCTCCTGTGCAACCTTCTCCCACCCCAAGCAATGAGTCAAGTTATGACAGTCCTTAATGCCTATTCCTTTCATCCCAAAGAGAAGCAGAGGAACCCAGACGTAGACAGATTCAGGCTTTGGCTTAGAGTTGTCTTTTTGACCTGACTGTGTTGCTGTATACAGAGGCAATATTGCAAAAGATCTCTTTTTTATTTTCTTCCTTGTGCCCAAGGAATACACCAGAAAATGCCTAACAGTGATGGGAGGACTCGGGGGCTCTGGAATAATAATTTACCTGAATCCAGTGTTTCTGAAAGCACACTTCTTTTAAATATTAATGTTATTCTGCAGCATAGTAACTGGAGAGCAAAAGGGCAAAGAAACCTCACAAAAAACATGTTTTTTTATGTTCAGGGCCATGTTCTCCTGTAGGATTTGTTGCTGTAAATTTTTAGGCCACGAAACAGACTGTATTTTGCAAGGAAGGCTGCAAGTTACCAAGAGAGTTAATTGGTTTATTCTGTTTTAATAAGACCTCCTGGGAAACAGATTTAATAGTGGAGTGCCAGTATCACATAATAAAATATGGTTTATAAAGGATATTACAACATAAGATACAGCGTGTCAAACTGGAAAGCATTTGCTGAATTTTCAGGGAACAATATCTAAATCTATTATGTTGGAAGCCTGGAAATGAGGCTATGTGGCCACAGTAGTTAAAATGAAAACAAGCTAGCAATTTAAATGGAAACAGTCTGCCACAAGGGAATCAAGAGTTTTATTGTGGGAAGGTCACACAGAGACCTTCCTTTTACAGAGGGAAATTAAAGGATCCAATGTACAGTTTGCTACGAGCACTCATCAAACCAGCCTCTCTCTCCTTTTCCCTTCCCAACCACACGGTTTCCTGCAGGAAGGTGTAAGGTAAGTAATCTTGGAGGGAATTTACAAACCTGAACTCAGACCGAATGGTGTGGTGATCAAGGTGAAACAGCAGAGCTTACCACATGTTTTGCTCATAGGTTGTGAGGTCGAAATCCTTGGAGTCAGACCAAGTTACTGCCGCGAATACTTCAGTGTCCCAACAGACAAAAACTTTGCGGATGCCATCAGTGATGCCCTCGAGACCTTGTGGTATGTCACTAGGTTTTTGCAGTGTGGGGTTTCCTCTCTCAAGGACAAGTATTTGGGCTTACTATCAGAGATATTTTCAGGACTGGCTCCCAGGTAGGAAGATGGTGCTGAGGCTGCTTTACAGTGCTGTCCAAAAATACCACCATCACCACAGAAATAGGCCCTTACATTAAGATTGGAGGGAAAGATGTGCTCTTTTCCTGTGTAGGTTACAACAAAGAGGAGACATCCTAACTTACTACTTTTAGTTTATTGTTTCAAGCAGCTTCAGGATGAGTCTCTTCGCTGCAAGAGCAGACTGCAGTGCTTGGATTTAGAGAGGGAATTTGGAAATTCTGAAATTTGGCTTCGGTGACTTGTTTACAAGACTGATGCTTTGGCTTCTTCTGCATTTTAGAACATTGCAGGCACAATATTTTTGGAGTGGGCATTCATTTTGTGCAATATGAGGATATAACAGAGTAAAATAGAATAGTTCAGTTGGACAGGGCCTACAACAACCATCTAGCCCAGCTGATGGGCATATATATCTCAGATAACTCCTAGGAAAAATGTATGTTCCACACGCAGCTTTCAAGTTTCACTATCTCTCATTCAAACATTAACAAGGGACAATTCCACATAGGCTGTAAAATCAGGGAAGATTGCATCACCACATGCAGAGCCAATGCCTTACCTTAGCTATAACTAGGCTTCCTCTTTGAAAACCTTGTTGGTTCCATAATTTATCCAATCCTAGGAAACATTTCTATTTTACTACTTGTAAACTGCCATAGCGATTTGAATCTGAAAAGTTTTGTATTCACATGCTGAGTGTTGATTGTTTTTGAAATAAAGTCTCCAAAATTATGACAGTGCTGCTGGAGATGTTGCTCCAGTTGCACACTGAATCCTGCTGCTCAGAAATCACGGTGTTGTTTGCATCATGGGGCTTAGACAGAAACTGCCTGAGACCACATGAGATGTTTTATCATGAAATTATTTGGCTTAGATTTACAGAAAGTTATCTGCATGTGATATGAGGAGGCTTTATGATATATGATATAGGAGGCTTTCTGGAGCTTCTGCAATGCTTTTAATTTAGTGAATAAAAAAAGGAATGGAAAATTGAATACAGACATCCACTCTGACTTACCCAGAATTACTGTAGAAAGCTTTTTGGTCTGGTATCATTTGGGGATGGGTCAAGTTACACTTGACTCCCCGCCTGGTTTCTGTGCAGCACAGTGCATAAGGCTGCTCAGGGTACTTTGCAGCTTTGTAATTGTGAACATGGTTAAAACAAGGCACAAACTGTTAAAAGGTCCAGCGCTTTAAGGTGTTCTTTTGGGTAGCTGGATCCCATTGAAAACGTCTCAATAGCTAATTCACGCTAAGCTACAAGGCTGCCCACTGCTATCTTCGGTGGAAAAGAAGAAAAGGGCAGGAACACAGCAGTGTCGGTGGAACAACTCACAAGAGATGAAAACTCTTCAAGAAAAGAGCAAATCCCTGCCATGATGCCTGCCAGAAATACCAGCTAAAGCCTGCTGAAGTGCCCAAAACCTACAGATCATCCCAGAGCTGCATGAGGTCCTGTCTCTGGTATCCCTTTACACATCCCCTCTTGAATTTCTGCCCAAGTTCCTTTTCTTTAAACTATGTACCTTGTCTCCAGCAAGGCAGGAAAGAGCAAAAAAGGATGATTATAGATAAAACTGATAATCAGCTCTGGGTTTAAATACTGCAGGGACTTAAAATAAGAAGGGAGAGTAGAGAACAAACAGGTCAAAAATGAGGTAGGTTTCCTTATTCTTTCTCTCATTCATCCTCTTTGTTTATTCCTTTAAGATTTAGGAAAAAAAATTCTGTGCTGTTGGGCCAGCCCATAAGAAGTAAAGCCTCTGAAATGCCTTTACTGTAGGTATACTCACTTAGCAGATATTAGCATGTCTGGTAGTAGAGTCTTGAGCTTGTCATTTACATCTTTTGCAAGTGCTTTTTACCCTTGAAGCTGTTCAAAGGCTGGCAAATCCAGTGTTTCCTTTCCACACACCAACTAATTGGAAAAGCCCATTAGGCTGAGACTGGCATTAGCTATATGTGGGAAAACAGCCTGTGGCAAGGGCAGTCTGTTGCCTGTAGCAGTGCCTTGCTCAGTTGCCCCAATGGCAGGTATTAGTAGTTAATGAACTGTACTTTGGCTCCCACCATTAGCAAACCTTACAGAGACTCCAGGGTAGAGAGAGTAAGCCCTTTAATATGGCATAGCGAACTAGGCGTTATCTTGGGTTTGAGCACAGGAATTCTGACCCATCTTAACTTCGCTGAAGTTGAAAGTTTTAGCAATCCCCTCTGCAGGGACAGAAATACCTAACTCATCAGGGAGCCACTGAGCTCTTCTTGCAACCAAAGCAAACTATCCTTCAGGAATATTCTCCAGTCTCTTCAAACAGGTGCTTTAAGACCACTATTTAGACAAAAAATATTCAAAACTAAGTCAAGCATCTGTTTTTGGCAAGTGAAACTAAAACCTTCCTTGTGTCTTTTCCACAGTTATAACTTAAGGGCTGTTGTGATCTACCTACCTTCCTGGACAGGTGTCATGAAGTTTGCACAATACTTGCAAAATGTGCTCGTAAAATACAAACCTCTTTTTGGTATTGCCATCGGTGCCATCCAACTTTCTTCAGCAAGCTTTCCTTAGTCGTTTACTTGGAAACTTACTGGTGAGGGAAGAAGACAGGATGAGCACATAGTTAGAGAGATTATTTCTCCCATGCCAGCCATGATCAGAGATGCCTAGTTTTCTTAGAAGAACAGGCAAAAATGGAAACAAAGTAAAATTAGATCTTAGAAGCTCTGGATGTGCTGTACCAAGTCCTGCAAACTCCTAAGCATGCTGCTTAATTTGAGCTTGTCCCATTGAAGTAATTGAGTATTCTTCTTACAGCACTGAGCCCTCACTGAGAAATCTCGCCATAGCCTAAATGAGAGCACTTGTTTTATGCAATAAATCTCCTTCTTGGCTTCTATCTTGATCAAAATGATCACTACAGATGAGAAGACATAAAGTAGTCTAAGTAGCTCATTAATATAGGCACTGCAGCAGAAGAAAACTATTTCAGTAGGTTCAATGTGTGTGTATGCAAAAGAGAAATTAGAGGGTTAATTTTAGAAATGATTTATGCCCAATACAGATGGAAAGTAATGCTTAAAATCAAACTGGGAAGAGGGCTGCTTCATTTGAATTATTTTAAAATCTTTAAGAATGAGAAACAATACTATTCTGCAGGGCCAGCAGTGCACAGTAGAGACCTTCAGCTTCTTACAGGACTGCTCCTCTGAGGCCTTCCTCAAACTGAAAAATGCAAATTACAGACCCTAATTCAGTCAGTCAGTCAGTCAGTTCCTCACCTCTGATTTTTCCTCTTCTCTCTCGCTCATTACACCAGACTACCCAAGTGTCTTTAATCAGAGAAGCTGGACCTGTCAGGACATGACACAAAGTCTTTTTGCAGGGATCTTGGTCTTGATGAGAGCACGTATTATGGATGGCACACTCTGTCATATATTAAGTACAGCAGAAAAAGACTGGGTTTGAACTTCGTGAGCATAAGTTTGTGATTTTATCCACACAACTGTTCTCAGGGAGATTTACAGTGAACTGTAAAGTGGTCATGAAAATGTAATTAAGCACTGATATATGTGTCATCCCCACTAATTAGGCTGAGGGCATTCAGTGCAGAAATCTGTGATCAGCTAAACTTATGCAATGCTGAGATTACCTTAGAGATTACCTTTGTTTCCCTTTGGTCATATTCCTGAATAAAACCCCCATCCAAAATTTAATCCCAATTCCTACTGCTCAGTATTTTGCAAGAAAGAGCACATCCTGAGTTGACCTCGGTGGTTTGGAAGACCTCACGCAGGAGAGAGCCAGACGTGCCAAACTTTAATTAAAGTATGTTTGTCTGGTAATTCCCACAATCCTTTTAATAAGGGCACTGAGCACAGAAATCAGTGTTTCTTTGTCATTAAAGGGAAAGCTGCCTTCTTAATTCAAAGAGGTTAGTAGAGGGCTGCCAGGCCAGCCTGTGCTTGCACATGGCAGTCTCTACTGCCACCTCTGAGAGGAGTCTAAGGCAAGCTCAGGAGACTCTGGGTGTGAATAATGAGCCCAGCTGTGCGACAGTAGGTGGGACAGCACGGGCTGGAAGCAGAAAACGGGGTTCTGTGGTTCTACGTGCTGGTGAAGACAATAACGCCGGCAGCCAGGAGGTCTCCATGTGTGCCAGCCTCTCACTCCTTCCCCTCCCTCCCATCTCCAGCAACGGCAGCGCTGAGATGGCCGCAGTGTACTACGAGCGCATTGATGTGGAAGGCCACCACTACGGCCCTTTGTCCCAGCAGCGGAAGAACGCTTTGAAGGAGGTGGACAAAGCCTTGAGCAACATGATCTCACTCATCAAGGTGAGCGCCATCCAAGACCCCAGCTCCTGGGTGCCTTTGGAAAGGTTTTTAAAACTGCTATTTGTGGCACTGCCAAGAGCCTATTTAATACCTGTCACTGAATGCATTGGCTGTAAACTTTTATTTCCTGAGAAACAGGTTACTGAGATCATGTGGAAGTCAAGGCACCATTCCCTGGATTATTATTTTCATTGATGGCATTATAACCTGCTTGGCGGATTTACACCAATAGCCCCAGGAAACCACAAACCAATATACAGTTTATAACTGGTGTTGCCGGCTAAACTTTACTGTAGGCAAACGAATCAAAACCGTGTGCTTCCTAAGGTTTGTGGAATCAGACAATTAACTTATATAGCAGTTTTTATGGCACTATTCAGAACGCCTTACTTTAAACTCGATTTTAAAAAAACATCATCTAAATGAATTTTCAGCAAGAAAAGGAGGATGCCAAGCTTTGGGGTAAATGGCAATTCTGTGAATCTTTGACAATGATAAATGCATGTTGGAGTTTTCTATGTGTTTCAGTGAGGAAAGGAATATGGATCTCCAATTTCACTAAATTATAGAAGTTCTAATGCTAAGTGCTTATGTTTTCAAGGGGAAGAGAGAAACACCCCTGCCACAGGTAGTATCATGGCAAAGTTATTCTTCCCCATCTGTTTTGGCCAACAGATTAAGAATAGCTCAGTAAAATCCTGTCTAAGACCAACTGGGACAACTGCTTTGCTGGTCTGGGATGTAGCATCTGGTTATTTAGCAGGGGGGTGGATTTTTTTTGGAAAAACTCTCTTTGATGCTAACCTCTCAGACTCTTCCAGAGCAGCAAGTGAGAGTGGGTGTCCATCATTACAGGTGGTGGCAAAGCACATTGCAGGGCATTTGTGGATGTGCTCCTTCTGGTGAACTTCCACTAAATCGGTGGAGGCCAGATGGGGATTTAAATTTTCCAGTGGGCACAGACAGTGCAAAGCTCTTACCAACCATAACTGCTGTCATGCACTTGCTTTACAGAGCAAAGGCCTTCAGAATGAAGTTAATGTCCTCCTCTTCTCCGACCATGGGATGACAGACATCTCCTGGGCAGACAAAGTGATTGAGCTGAACAAATATATCAACATGAGCGATACTATACAAATGAAGGACCGAGGTCCTGTTGTGAGCCTCTGGCCAGCTCCAGAGAAGCATGCAGAGGTAAGTACAGCTTGGTCATACTAGTCTTTGTGTTTCCTCAGTTTTTTTGCCAGTTGTGACTTCTGTCTTCTCATAACATCCAAATCTGGCTCTCAGGGATGTGTGTAAAAATCAGCCTGAGGCTCTTATCAGGAGTCAGACTTGGAGCCTGTGACACTCTTGTGCTGCTGGTTTCTGAAGGAAAGTCACACCAGGCAAATTAGAAAGCATGAACTTTCATCATTGTATGGCAAGGACATGTGCTTTCAAACCCCACCTCTATGTGCTTTTGATAAACAGCTAAAAGATTTTAGCTCAAAATCCATTTTTAGGATTTTATATATATGTCAGTCAATTTATTGACACCCTAGCTGTGATTTTCAAATGATCTGGCATTCATACTCCAGTAAACTCCCATAGAGTTTGAGGAATTAACTCCATTAGACCAGAATTGCAAAAAATAATTTTTTTACAATATTTTCCTTTGAAGAATTTTTGGTGAAGCATGTTGGATTGAATTAACCATAAAAGTCCAAGGTTAGAACTGCATGATTTTGAGGGATAAATTAAAACAGTAGTGAAAAAAATTGGAAATTATTTGAAAAGAATGAAAATGCAGTATCTGTAACTAACAGCCTAGTACATTATAGTCTAACTAGAAACCAATGCATGAGAAGTCATCACTGCTGTCCTCAGAATATATATATGTATGAATGTACAAAATGGGCAGGTCGTGCCCATTTGAATAATCTTGTTTTCTAGATTATATTTCTATATTATATTTTAGCCAGTTCCAGTATATCATAGCTTGCAAAATTTTTAAAAAGAGAATATTTGCACCCAGTCTCTCCAGGAACTGTGTAGCTGTGGTATTGTGAACATTGGTTCACAAATTGGTGCCAGGACTGAAAGTTGTCTTAGAGGCATGCATAAGCAATTCAATCAAAGTGAATCTCAGGGGTTCACAGCATTGATATGTGCTCTCCTTGGTCTTAACCCAGAGCTCCTGATTTTTGTAGGCCAGACCTTCAAACAAGGGCAAGTTGCAACTTCACACAGACATGGGGTTTCATCTGACAAAGCTTTTAAGCACATGCTTCTCTCTTATTAAACAGCCAAATACCTCTAAGGAGAAAAAAGTGCAATGCCTCTACACTATGGTTTTGTTTTCTTCCTTCCTTCCTTCCTTTCTTTCTAGCACTTCTTACTGGACTACTGCTTTTTAAGTGAAGTCAAGTTGGTTTTCAGTTTCCCAATAGAGCTTCAAAGAGCTATGTTTAGGAATTAAGAGTGTATCATAACATGGTGATTATCACCTTTAAGAACTATCCCATTTCGAAGAAGTACTGGTGAAACACCAGGACCACCCTAGTCCTGCTCATGGGAGGGTCTGGCTGGATTTCGCCATCACACCCTGGTGCTGTCCTTATGGTCACTGCATATCGATGCACATCTCTGGCACACATAGGCACACAAGGGTGACTTAGCTAAAAGGCTAGTGAAGAACCTTTCATTCTTTGCAGAATCGAGCTAATTATTCCTGAAAATTATTTATATTTAAGCAAAAGAACAATATAGTGTCTGAGGACTCCAATAATGACCTTTTTTATGGAATATGAACATCTCCTTCAGGCATTTAAAATACTTTTTCTAAACAATTTGGGGTTTAACCACACTTGTGTGATTATATTCAAGACAGTATGATTAATATTAATAAACCACTTGTATGTCATTGTGCAGATTCAAGCTGCAGGCATTGGCTAATTAATCTCATGGCATCCTTATGAAGCAGATAACTAAACACTATCAATCCCTTTGTTAGGAATTGACTGGTTAAGTGCAAGAAGCACAGATGAGGTGATATTAATTCTTCACTCAAGCGCACAAAGAGAGAATGAATGGCAGAGGATAAAGAAAATATTCCTTTTCCACATCTGTACACAATCCACATGGTGCCTTTGAGCATCTTTAACCACTTTACTTTCACCACTGTCTCGTGTGATGGTGTGGTTCCTCCTGGTCTATTTCTGTAGGCTGGTGTACTTACATGCATACATTTGTGTGTGTATCATAAATATATATAATACATGAATTCATGCATTCCTATGTGTTTCTGATCCAAGTTTTCAGAATCTCCTAAACCACATAAGTAGGTTTTGTCCAGCCATCATTTTTGGACGGGCAGAGTCCTGGTTTGAATGTGCTAATGGTTAGCCATTAAAGGGGATTAGCCATTTTGCAAATTCAGGTGTTTCAGTGTACCCCTTGGTGCATATATGTTCTTTACAGACATATAGTGTCCTAACATTTGTTTTCTTTGCAGATATATCAAAAATTGAAAGCCGTGGAACACATGGATGTTTATAACATACAGGATATTCCAAACAGGTTTTTCTACAAAAAAGGAAAATTTGTGTCTCCACTAACCCTTGTGGCCGAGGAAGGATGGTTCATAGTAGAGGTAAAGTATAGAAGCAAAATACATTGACATGAATGGCAAAAGGTGCAGTGTATGAAAACGGTCAGAAAATCGTACAATTCTATGCTGATCATTGAGTTCAATGAGCTGACTGCAGAACTACTGCTTAAAGGGGCTTAAAGGTACTGCAGCTATCCTATAGGTAGACAGTTAAATAGTCAAGACGGTGTTTTTTCTTCTGTTGTCATAACACAGGACTAGTCCTTGTATTTCACATTCCGGTTCTGTTGCTTTACTCTTCTTCCCCCTGCCATCTACCTTAGTTTCAGACACAAAAAGAGTGTTTCCGTTTCAAGTCCTTACTGTCCCTCCATTCAGCAGTACCTGTAGCAACCTTTCATTCTGCCTGGCTTCCTACCCGCCAGACTAAAAAAGCGCCATTTCCCCCAAGCCCTCCAGTCTCAAAAGGGTCAGACTGAGGGTTTCCTCCTCAGAGACCCTGTCCTCAGAGACCCTCCTCAGAGAAGCCCTGTCCACACTCCGAAAATCTGAGAACTTCTTAAGCAAAGAATCCACATGTGAAGAGATTTTTCATAGTAACTTATTTTCTTACTATAATTTGCTGTTGTTGTTATTTTGTATTTGTAACACTACTGGGCATCTCCACATTACAAATACTAACAGTAAGTTGGCAGAACCAAGATGTCCTGGGTTTTTTTAATGTCCCAGCATAGTCATTGCACATTGTTGCCTTGTAGATTACTGTAACTCAGCTGAGCATCTTCTTTCATGACTTTCAGAGCTACTGCTCACCAAGCTTTGCTCAGGACATTTCACACCACCACATTTCTCACTAGCCAAATTGAATTTAGGATAATAATTTCTACAGCTGAATAAAAATGCACCTCTAAAAAAACCCAGTGGCATTTGAGTATGGATTGATGAGCACATTTCTGGTTAAAAAAAAAAAAAAAAAGCCAGAGTTAAGATTTAGACATGTAAAGTAGGAATCTGAAACAATTTCGCCAAAATGATTTAAAAAAATTACAACTAAACTCTTTTGTACAAAAGTTCAAAACAGAACATTTTTACATATTCTGTTGAAAATAAAAAAGGTACTTAAAAAAGTCATTGAAACTCTGACAAACCTTAATAACAGTGCAGCAAACACTGCTGCTATGGTAATTATTTCTGTCTCTCTGCCCATTCCTTCCCATTGTTTCTGATTTTCAAGGGTGTCCTCTCATTAATACAGTCAGATTTTCCTTCTCTTCAGTACATTTTCATTATCCATGAATGGGATATGAAAATGAAAGTTTCCTGTCATTTTTAAAGCAATAATTGAGCCTTCTGTTATGCTTCCTGCTCAAATCACTGAAAAGAGGATGTTCAGCTCTTCCCTGTCATGCTCAAGGGGTGTTTTAACTCTCTGTTGGTTAGTGGATAGCTATAAGGTGTTTGAAAAGGAGATTTTTTTGGTTGTTGTTTTTTGAAAGGGATAAAGAAGATGTATCTGGAAAATTGTCGTTTCTCCCAGCAAGGAGCTGGGGATCTATAACTTCTAAGTAGGTAAACTAGAACTAAAGCCCATCTACATTTCAGTTAAAGCAGGATAAGGAGGGATTTCACACACCTATCGAAGCCTCGTTCCCTCCACATGAGTGAGTGGTCCCCATCCTTTGACCAGAATTTCTCCCAGCTACTCTCCTATGTGCAACACTGGTGTTAGCCCTCAGGCCTGTGTGCTCTCTCTGTACCCATCCCAGTGTACTTTCCCAAGATTTAGGGAGCAATTGCAGTACATTTTCTAAACATTCACATGCAGGGAAAAGTCCACTGTCGGCAGTCCCAGACATGCCTGTTTCATCTTTGAGGAGCAGCACTAGCCCAGGCTTAGGCTTAACATGAAAAATTATGTCTCAGTTGAGTCTACCATCCCATTTGTATTTGTCAAGCAGGCACTTCAGGGTGCTGTCAGTGCCCTGGCCCCAAAGAAGCCCTGGGAGTTTATGAGGTTTGCTGTAAGGTAGAGCCTGATGCTCTAGAAGGGCAGCATTGGGGTGCTTGCACAGCCCTGTCTCTCAAGCTACTGCTGTTAGTGGCTCCATTTCATGAGCTCTCATTTCAGCTGCAGCTGTGAAAGCAAGTAGTATGTTTTCTGGCCCAAGAAGCAGCAAAAATGATGGAAATGACTGTGCCTTTGACTGCACAGTCAGTTGTGAGTGGGTATCTCTTGCTGCCTGGGTGAGTTATGGAAAGGCACACATACCTCCTGGATTTAACATTCCTGGGGAAGCAACAGAGTCCAGGACATCTGACAGGACCATGGAGGGGTGTGGCTTCATTGATGTCATGATACTGCCAAAGAACCGCTGAAAATTTGATGTGGCTTGACTTGTCTGAAGCTGATGCTAGCAAATGCTGTACAGGTCACCTGATGGTGAGCAGCACAGGTAGTCCCCGGGAACTGCGGTAAACAGAGCCACAGCATAAGGAGGTGCTATGGTAGGAAGAGAGGAAGGCTTGCTCCGAGCTCTGTCAGGGAAATAAATGGGGGAAATAGATGGGGACAAGAAAAGAAATTTGTCAACTGAAATAGTTTAATTTAATCTGTAACAGATTACCCAGAGAGACTGTGGAATCTCCCTCATTGGAAATACTCAAGAACTGTCAGCAGTGCAATGTGCTCTAGGATGACCCTGCTTGAGCAGGGAGGTTGGACCACATGATCCACTGTGGTCCCTTCCAACCAGAATACTACTCCATTCTGTAGTATTTTGGAATTATCTGGTACATCTGCTGAATACTGCATGTGAAGAAACACAAGGGATAAAGGGATACTCTGGGCGTTCCCCTAGAGAGTAGTTGACCTCTTAGTCATAACTACTGCTGTCCTCACTGCACAGTCAATTTTCTTTCTGGAGGAGGAAGATAAAAATCAGACAAAATCAATGTTTGTGAAAGGAAAGACATCCTTGGTTAATCTGCTTCATCATCTGCAGGGGTTATGGCACCACTTGCCCAGGGTGGTAATGTGGGAAACTTTTCTGGGGCATCTTCTGTACTTCTGTGCCTGGGTATGAAGCCCAGACCTCACTGCTTTAGAGAACTGTGTAGATCCTTCTCTGTAACCATCAGAGAAATTAATGTCAAGGGTCTGATGAATATCTAAGTAAAATTCCTGCCATAGTTTTAGGGCTATCTGGAATGCCGCATCTGCTGCCATCCCTAAGGAACATGGGACAGGAGAAACTTGTGGACAGGGTTGGTCCAGCATTTTGATTAGCCCCTAGAGACTGCTGCTCTGACAGGTATGACACTATTGTAGATAGTCTGGTAAGAGCTGTTCATATGAAACAGGAGAAAGTAAGGAAGGAATTTAAAAGTACTACTTAAGTGCAATGTGGGCAAGGAAGAACAAGATTTATAATGACAAATTAATAAAGCATAGATCCACTGAGCAAGGAAAGAAAACAGAGTGATCTAGGTCAGGGAGAGAGGGACTGTCTTAGGTCAGAATCAGTGTTCCCTGAAACAAACTTGATTTCTTCAATATTAAAACAAAATGGCTTATTTTTCTAAGGTGCCAGTGGCATATGGGACAGAACAACACATCAGCAAATCCACAGCATGGTGCTGGGTGGGAGAGTGACACTGCTAGCATGAGTGGGGAGAGGGACACCACCTTGCTTGCACATGTCACATACGGCTGTGGTACTTTGGGCCTGTGGCAGAAATTTAGATGAGCTGTCCTCCCCTCTCAGTGCAGAGATGGCTACTCACTGAGGCAGCTAAGCTGGGGGTCACCCCTCCTCGGGATGAGCTCCTGTGCAGCCAACAGCAGGGGGGGGGGTGTGATGGGTCCTGAGACACAGCATAGCACCCCCCAGCACCCCAGCACAGCCTGGCAGGCAGGCACTAACCACACTCTGCTGTTGTCACCCAGAGCAGGGACAAGCTGCCCTTCTGGGAAAACGGGACAGGCAAGAAGGAGGCCTGGCAGAATGGCTGGCATGGCTACGACAATGAGCTCATGGACATGAGAGGCTTCTTCCTCGCATATGGACCAGGTACAATGCCACCATCCCAGGTGTTCCACTTCCCCTGCAGCACCATGGTCCCTACCCCTGCAGCCCTGCAGCCCCTGGCACATCAGGACCCTGATGTGGCACTCTGTGACACTTAAAAATTACAAATAGATGGCAGGATTTCCTCACTACAGAAGGTTTCTAGCTCTCTTTTTTTAGCTGGAGAAACAGGGCAGAGAGATATGAAGGGATTTAGTCAGCCTCTCTCTGATGTCCCAGCACAGTAACTCTGTCCCTTTGCTCTTTTTTCCTACATTTTGGCCTAAATTTTTAATTCCATTTGAGACACACAAATTCTTCTTCTGTTGGAGGATTTGGACTCAATAACGCAGAGCACTTTATTTGGGAAGGCTGCAGCATACCTCACCCACCTGTCTGACGAGCAGACACAAGCCTCCTGGTTTCCACTTCATCTGGACCTTTAAACGCTGCAAAGCACCAGGGTGCAACCGCAGACAGGAGTGAAAACAAAGCAGAATGTGCAATAGAATTATGTCAGGCTATTAAATCTACCAAGCGCACCCAGTAAAGTAGCTCCTTAAAAGTTTGGTGGTTTTTTGGTTCTCAGAATAAAATTGGACTAGAAGTAAAAAATAATGCACAAAAATTTTTAAAATGTTTTTGCTGATCTATGTTATCTTATAGCTATAAATTGTATAGTGTGCCACATCCCAGCCGGCTGGGAAAGTCCCAGGAAAGGCATAGGAGCCCTTGCCCTACCCATATTTCAAGCACTGAGCCATAAGCTGTATGATGTCAACTCCTCTCTTTTGCCTGCAGATTTCCGATCCAACTACCGAGCACCACCCATCAGATCCGTGGATGTTTACAACATCATGTGCAGCCTGGCAGGAATACAGCCACTGCCCAACAATGGCTCCTGGTCCAGGGTGGAGTGCATGCTCCGAAACACAGCTCCCTTGGCACCACTCCCCCCATGCAGCAGCTGTGCCCTGGCACTAGTTGTGCTCTCCCTGTTTGCCAAGCAGATCTCCTTACTGTGATCCCTGAACAATGTCAGTCAGTGTCACCAGCAACTCCATTCTTCTCTGATTTTTTTTTAAAGTTCTTCATTTGAATAATAGCTTCATTAATAGAGTGCTGTCCCCCACTCCTCCATTGTGCTCCACCAGGCGTGAATCTGACCCATCCTGCATTTACAGCCGTTGTAACGTGAACATGTTCCAAACAACATGCTCCAAACACAGCCAGGGAAGTTGGTGTTGTTTCTCTAGATTTACAGCTCTGGCAATGAGAGCAGAATCCTGGCTGGCTATCCACATTATTTTCTGGCGGGTGCACGTGGGGATCTCTGAGCATCAAACACATCTTACACAGCATCTTTCTCTGAGGGGCTCACCCTGGCTCCTGGTACTGAGAAGCTCAGGAGTAGAGACTGACATCTCTGCATTTAACTGCGTTCTTCCTTCTTCACTCCTTCATCTCCAGCTCCATCACCAGCAGGGCCCCATCGTCTTACAGTGCCAGCCAAGCCCTGTCTATACTGACCCATTCAAAGTGCCAAGAGCTTTGGTGAGTTACCATAATGCTAAGAGAGGTGGGCCAGCAGGAGAGCAGTGAGAGCATCCTATTTCTCAGCCTTTCCTTCTTCATTCTCCCCAGTGTGAGTCCTGGCCGTGCATAGAATCATAGAATCATAGAATCAGCCGGGTTGGAAGGGACCTCCGAGATCATCAAGTCCAACCCTTGATCCACTACCACTGCGGTTGCTAGACCATGGCACTAAGTGCCACATCCAGTCTCATCTTAAAAACCTCCAGGGACGGAGAATCCACTACTTCCCTGGGCAGCCCATTCCAATGTCTGACCACCCTCTCTGTAAAGAAATTCTTTCTAATATCTAACCTAAACCTCCCCTGGCACAACTTGAGACCATGCCCTCTTGTCTTGCTGATAGTTGCCTGGGAAAAGAGACCAACCCCCACCTGGCTACAACCTCCTTTCAAGGAGTTGTAGAGAGTGATGAGGTCTCCCCTGAGCCTCCTCTTCTCCAGGCTGAACAGTCCCAGCTCCCTCAGCCTCTCCTCACAGGACTTGTGCTCCAGTCCCTTCACCAGCCTCGTTGCCCTTCTCTGGACCTGCTCCAGGACCTCAATATCCTTCCTGAATATGCTTCCAAGGCCTGGTTTTCCTCATGGACCACAGCAGTGGGAAGGGCTGAGAAAGGGGAGAGCAATAGAAATCCTCCACCTCAAATAGTGGGAAAATGAAGAGGCATCTGGACACGCAAGGGTTGGGAGAAAGTAGGATGAAGAAGCCTTGAATTTAACAGTCTCTTTGCTTTTCCTGGTGAAGATAATACGATCTGCTCAGGTTTTGGTGTTTTGTACTCAATTGCATTTCTGAAGGTTTTCTGAAACTTGCTGCTTTTCTACCAGCTCTTGCTCTCTACACCTCTGCCAGGTGACCAGCACATTCCTCTTTATTCTGCAGCAGGGAAAGAGGTCTACACTGATAGGTGTCCCACCCTCCCAGTTAATCCTAGCGATTATTTCCACCACAGGCTATCAAGCACAAACAAAGTTGTAGCGGTAAAGTTAGATTAAATAGCAGGAGAGGATAGAGCTGTTGCCAGAGGTGCCTTTGGGAGTGCCCACTGCTTTATCTGATATACCTCTGGACTGGGAACTTTCAGCAACAAACTGCCTTTGGAAGGATTTAGGTCCCTTCCCATGTGAAACAAACCTCTAGGACTTACTACTCTTATGGATCCAGAGTCAGGCATGATCCAGGTATGTGTGATGCAGCACATTTAAGAGTGAATGATTACACCATGGAAAAAGAAACAAACACCAAATTAAACTTCACAAAGACTTCTGTAATAGCTGTAAAGATTTATGTAATGTGTTTTTAAAGCTCAAGTGAACCATCAAATCAATTGGGAAAAAAAAGGGGAGAAAATCAGTCTTTGTTATTAGACTGTTGAGTATAAAAGACAGTTTAGTGCTTTCAAAACATTTGCAGTAGCTGTAAAACAAGCACCTATTGTTCAGAGTTCCCTGTTGCTCTTTAATGGACCATGCTCAATGAAATCACTGGAGCACATTTTTAAAGCAAGAAAAAAATTAAAAATCAGCATATCAGCATGCAAGATAACCAAATTACCAAGTTTTGTTTGAAAATCAACAGGCTAGATGCCATCAGTGCCTGCTAATCCCTCCATAGCCTGCCATTTTAACTCTTACCAGTGAACAGAACCCAAGGTCTTCTCACAGAAGAAAAGTTTCTAAAGGTATAAGGGTATATTCAGCTTCTCAGTTATACAAGCAGAAATTGGAAATAACAAATTGAGTCCATTGAGTTGTTCCGCAGGTGGGCCATGACACATGAAACCAACACTGATCCTTGTGAGCACTTCGTGTAACTCATTTTTGTCAGTGTCCACATGCAAGTACTGAAGAGTAAATTTTCTAATTGCAATATGATTTGTTTGACCTTAATGCAAGCATTGTGTGTATGGTTAAAGATACTTGGTCTGCAAAAGGGAAATTGATAGTAGACCTCCAAGAAGCTCATTAGTTTCAGGAGAACTACAGCTCATTATTTTTTGAAAAGTGCATCTTTCTTCCTCAGAAATGTTGTACCTCTGAATCAGTTCACATTCTCATTCAAAAATCAAGTGTCTTATCTCTCACCTATTTTTCTGTATACTATGCAATGGAAGTGGGTGTATTTTAAAACCTATTTCTGAATGATGTTTTTATACAGTGACTGATTGTGAATGAGTGAATAATCCTAAGAATGGTGTTGGGAAAAAAATGCATCTTTTTGTAAATACTGTAGGATTTTTGAAAAAAAAAAACCACAAAAAAACAAAAAAAAAACCCCAAAACCTGCCCCATAACACCTTGCCTTTCTTGTCTTCGCTGCATCAAAGTGTGATAAACAGTGTTTGAAGCTTGTGCTGATTAATTATCAGAAAGATGAATGTAAACATTGTTTAGAAATGGCAAAGTTGTCAGCATGTAAATTAAGGACATTAAATACATCACATAAGATACTGTAGCTTGTATACGCAGTCCTTTTTTCCAGATCTACTTCAGTATTTAATCTTTTGAACATCCATCCAGGGACATGTAATTCACAGTAGCCAATGGACATGACAAAACATTTTGCTCTGCTAAGAAGAGGGGTGAGCCCTGGATGCTCTCTCCAGGCCCACTTCTCCAAGCCCGCTTTGTTACCATCACATCAGCTGCTTGCACAGAAATCAAGTGCATTGTCACTGGTTCAGGCTTTCCAGAGCCCCCACTTCCCAGTGGGGGATGGTGCAAATGGCAACAAGACCTTGAAAACCAACACTACAGGTCTCGAGGACAAGGGACCCTACCCACCCTTTAGGCTTCACAAACCAACAATGTTCAGTGAAGAGACTAATTTAATAGAAATAAGTCTCCAAACCTACTCAGTGGAATTTAGCTTGTTTTCCTTATGCTAACTGACCACAGGGGCAGGGAGTAGATGCTGAGGAGAATCAATTCAGGTATGCCAAGGAGTCCTTTAATTCTCAGCAGGGCTCCCTTCAAACCAGCAGCACTGCCAAAGTCTGCCAGAGATGCTCCCCTTGTGTTCCAGAAGCATGGGTCCTGTGAGCAGGAGGATGCTGAGGGATTGCCTGCACAGAGACAGCATGGGAATCAGCCTCAGTCAGCTCTCTGTAACAGTGCCAAAAATGGCAATTTCACACCTAAATAAACTAAGCCGTTTCATCAGTGAGCTTGGTGGCCATGTAAATGGCATAGCTGGCCAAGGCTCAGCAGATGGGCCCTCCAGCATCCCTCAGGATGTAGCCCACATTGTCTGCACAGACTGCAGCCTCATGGAGACTTTCCTGTTGCCCCAGACACGGGCCTGAGCCCTCCATAATTATGGGGACTTCACAACTAAGGGGTGAATGAAAAGATTTTGTGGTGTTGGTCACCTTACTTGTCTCCTAACAGCTAAGTCAAAACATCTGTCAGATGTCAAACCCCACACCTCAGGGGGACATGCAGACCAAATGAGCTATGGGCACTGCAAATTGAAAGACATTGGAAAAGCCCCTTTTGTAACATTTCCCTGCCTCATTTTCCCTGTGGGGCTGTGGAGAGAGGGCAGGCAACAGCAAATCCAATGAGAATTTTAAAAGAAAACATAGCCTAATGAAGGGAAAAAATTTAAACCCTCCATTTTAGCATAAGGAGGCTTTAAGGGCTGTTCTGAAAGACAACTTTCACCTACATGGAAAAACATTTTTTCTTCAGGTATTGAAACACATTTAAGTTAAGGGAAGGTTATTGGAGAGTGCCCAAAAATAAGAACATTTCAGAGTTACAGTTGACTGGGCAGTGTAATTCTTAAACTTTATACAGATGTTTACAGCTCTATGGATTATTCTGATAACATTTCAAATACATGAAGTTGCCATGGACTTGCAAACCAGTATGATGGTATCCCAAATCTGGCAGATCTGTATCAATGACACCAGTTCCAGTCTGCCAGGCCAATTTCATCTGGAAGCCACCATGAGCTGCCAGCAGGCCTGTCCTGGTCTCTCCCTACCCCAGCCAGGCATCTACCTGAAGGCTGCCCAGGATGCAGGGAATGCTTTGCTGCAGCCGCACACTGCACCAAGGCCACTGCTACTGCCCTGGCTGGCCAGAACTTGCTACCTGTGGGGTCTGAAGATACACTCCAGGGTGGAAGACACCCACCAGCAGCAGCCCTGGAACACCCGTATGTGCTCCATCAGCTTGGCAGGCTGGGGACAGGTGGCGGCGGGTGGGGGGAAAGGCCTGACAGGCCCTGGGAGTGGAGATCACGGATCCACAGAATGGGTCAGGTTGGAAGGGACCACAGTGGATCATGTGGTCCAACCTCCCTGCTCAAGCAGGGTCATCCCAGAGCATGTGGCACAGGATTGTGTCCAGATCATTCTTGAACATCTCCAGTGAGGGAGACTCCATAACCTCTCTGGGCAACCTGTTCCAGTGCTCAGTTCCCTGCACAGTAAAGAAGTTCCTCCTCATGTTCAGGTGGAGCTTCCTGTGCATCAGTTTCTGCCCATTGCCTCTTTTCCTATTGCTTGGCACCACCAAGAAGAGCCTGGATCCATCCTCTTGATATCTTCCCTTCAGATACTTATAGACATTGATGAGGTCCCCTCTTAGTCATCTCTTCTCGAGGCTGAACAGGCCCAGCTCCCTCAGCCTTTCCGTGTAAGAGAGTTGCTCCAGTCCCTTGACCAACTTTGTCGCCCTCCACTGGACCTGCTCCAGGAGCTCCATGTCTCTCTCTTGTGCTGAGGATCCCAGAACTAGACACAGATCTCCTCACACGCTGCTTTTACGGCCTCCCTTGCCCCCTGCAGGGCGAAGGCTGCGAGGGTGCAGCCCCCAAGGGCGGCGGGCTCTGCCCGGCCCGGACGGAGCAGCCCCGACCCCTGCCGGCTGACCCGCAAACCGCGGGTGTGGGATAAAAGTAATCTCTATTTTAACAAGGGGAGGAAGGATCGGGACTTTTCCTTCATTCTGTGTGTCTCATCGCAGCTTTTCCTCTTTCTCCCCTTTGACTCTCTCTGTTGCCCTTTGCTCTATGGCCGATTCCTCCTCGGGCAGTGCCCCAAACCCACTGCCTCCATGTAGCAACCTGAGCAAACCTCCCGTCTCCTCCTGCCCTCGTTTCCACAGGAGGATGAGAGGGCTCGGCAAGAC